TATCTTGGATGCCTTTCTGACAATAGGCATAATGATTGGGTTTATAGGTTTTTGGGAAGGCGCTGTCGACTTGTCCTGCGCGAGCCGCTGCTGTTTGCGTGTCGTGGCTGGAGCCATGGCTTGTGTCTCTCCGGTACGGGACTTTGAAGAGTGGCTTAGGACCGGAGCTGCTGCCTTAGGGTGTGAGGATGATATGGTATGCTATTCAGATACTTCTCACGGCCAGAATATGTTGTTCTTATATAAATCCCGCCGATACCTCATCTTCCGGGCCTGAGTTAGGGCCTTGATCTTGAGACAAGGACACAAAAGCGGTGAAATAAACGGATGGTCAACTAGTTTCAGAACATATTAATGTTCATTGCAATGCCGCCGTTGGATGCTTTTTTACATCGCCATCCACTTGAAGAATGAGGCCTTTTGCTTCAGGCTTCTGCTGATAATGGCAGGAGCTCTAGTGCCATCTATCACCATCTTGGCTTCAAAGCGCATCAGCTTTGGTGGAGTGTCGTTCATACGGCTCTTGAGCAAAAGAATCAATATTGTCCCTCAAAGACGACCACCATGTAGATGGTTCCTTGGAGTTCCATGCTGAAAGCCAGACTCAAAGTGGGTTTCTCTTGAATGAGAGATAATACAATCTTTGGCGCTTCCACCGTCGTCTCAAGAAAGATCGACCAACAAAAACCAGCCTCAGGGAATTTCCATTGCTGGAACTTCCGATATGATTGTTTGAAAATATTGAAATGGTAAGCATGAGCGCAACAGGGCTCAGCTTTCTTATCCTTCAATAGCGACCTTCATAACGCGAACTCTTACAATGCCAGAATAATCATGATGGACGATGGGCAGTGCTCTCAATGAGGCAAATAAATAAATCTTTATAATGGATTTGCCTCAAATCGTTTCAAATCGCTTGATTTGCCTCATTTCACAGCCAAAATCATTTCCCTCATTTCAATAACAATCTCGGATACCCAATTTTCCAGTCCCGGCTTACAGTAATTATATACTATTATTAGCCGTATTAACCTTAAAATACAATAAAAACGATAGGAAAATTACATAAATCATAACATATGAATTCAAACCTCCTCTACCTTATTCTCCAAACGGCTCTATACCCTTATATATAATAATTTATTAAATGTATTATTATTTAAACTATTTCTTAATATACCTAATATTTAATTCGTAAAGTTGAATACCCTTTTATAATCGTTGGATATTAATAGGATAAATAAATAATCGAATACTATCTTCGCTATATATAGGAACCTCTCCTCGTTCTGCCTCTACTATACTAGAGGGTTAATTACCTATTTAAACTTCTCTTTTAAATAAATTGTAAGTTCTTCTTTAAATAATAGTAGTAATAGTATAATATTATAATATCCCGGCGGCATTAATTAACTATATATAAAGTCGGTTGATAAGGAAGATAGTATTATAATTATAGTAAGTATACTATTATTAATTCGCTTTTACTCCTTCTCCTTCTTCTAATTGGTCTTTTAATAATAATTATAATAGATTGCTTTAAACTAACGGATAATTTTATTAATTTTATCCTTTAATAATTACTATTCGATATATTTCTTTCTATACCTAGGGTAGAGGACTAAAATAATCCTATACAATAAAGTTTTACCTATAAATTCTATATATTTATCGAATTTAGTAATTGCCTTATTAATATTCTATTAGATAAATAGGAAATTAATATTAATTAACGTAGGGAGAGGAAGAGGTTAATTATATTAATTATTAGTAGGTTATTATTATTAATATTAAAAGGAGGAGGGTTAATTAGCGTAAGGAGGTTAATTAGTACGAAAGGGACTACCGTTACAAGAGGGACTACCGCGAAAGGGACTACCGCGGTAAATTTAACTACCAATAAGAAGGGAGGAGACTATTAATTAATAATTATATTATTAAATATTAAGTAAATCTAATTTATACCTATTGAAATACTGTAGTAAATTATTAGTATAGCGGGATTAATTCTATATATTAACTTCTTATAATAGTAATTCACTAATAATATCTTCCTCCTCCTCCTCCTCCTCCTTATTATCGTCGCCGTTATTATAAAAATTAATAATATTAGGCTTCCTAATATAATTAAACGCAATCTTCTCATTATAACGGTCCCATAGTACCTTAAGATTAATTATTATACGATAAATAACGGCTAGTACTATAAGGAAGTACAACTTCCTTTATTTAAAAGTTTTAGTCGTCTTTTTAAATAGTTTAAGTAATTGTAATATAGTATTAAATATATCCTAATTTTTACTAATTAGAATATCCTCGAACGAAATTCTCTTATTAATATTAATATATTAACAACGGTTTTAAATATAAAAAATATCGACCGTATCCTTCAATTTAAATGCCCTTTCAACTATAAAGAAAATAGAATTCTAACATATATTATTATTTTTGAAAAGATTAGTAGTATAAAGATTGGGATTAATAAAAATTTTATTATAATTTTCCCTCTCTTAGGTAATTAAATTCCCTTTCGCGAATTTAGCGAATTTATTTCTATATTAGGGAGAGCGGCGTATATAGTTAATAATATTGCGTAATTTATTAATAGGACCCTACTTTTACTATTTAATTATAAATTTATTATTATTATTAATAATAGTATCGAGAGTTTTAATAAGGCTATAAGAATCCCCCTTTAAGAAGGTTGTTAGGAACGTAGGCGAAAGGTAGGTTAAGGTGACTACGGTCATGGCCACACGTAGGGGACGGCAAGTTAGGGGTCAATCCAAAAATATATTAATAACTACCGATTATAATAAAATACGTTCTATTGAACCTCTTTTATACCTATACAAACTCTATTCCTCCATTAACGAGTATTATAGAACCTTAAATTAATTTAACGCTTCAGTACGGTACCGGATTATCCTTCCTACAAATCCAACCTAATATAAACGTTATTATAAATAATCCTACGCTTCTATTAATAAAGGAGAGTAGCAGCCGCTAAAGTACCTCTATATACGAACTTTTAGCCTCCTAATACAACCCCCCCCTTATAGGTTCTATCCTCGGAATTTTTATAATAAAATACCGGATATTATAGTATTATCGAACGTTATTCGCTATAGCCGCCGACGCTAGATTCCAGATTATAGCCGCTCTACCACCAGCGAACCGCCTACTAGAATATCGGTATTATATTATCTATTCTCGTAAACTCCAAATACGGCTACGAAGCCGGCATTAAATCTAAAGAGTTAACGTTCCGCCCACCAATATATCGGCGCTATAATATCCATTCTTATAAATTCCAAATACAAATATAAACCCGGCATTAGATTTAAAGCGTTAATGTACCGCCCGCTAGAATATTAGTATTATAATATCCCTTCTTATAACTCTAAATACGGATACAAAACCGGTATTAAGCTTAAACGTCTAATATTCCGCCCGCTAAAATATTGGTATTATAATATCTATTCTTATAATATACCGCCCGCTAGAATATTAGCATTATAATATCCATTCTCGTAAACTCTAATACGGATATAAAACTAGTATTAAATATAAAATATTAGTATTCCGCCCGCTAGAATATTGGTATTATAATATCTATTCTTATAATGTACTGTCTACTAAAATATTAATACTATAATATCCATTTTTATAAACTCCAATATAGATATAAAATTAATATTAAATATAAAGTACTAGTATTCCGCCTACTAGAATATCGGTATTATAATATTTATTCTTATAAATTCTAAATACAAATATAAAACCGTTATTAGATTTAAAAAATTAGCCGGGTTCCTAACTATTACTAAGACTATTATTCCGCAAGCGTACGAAATAATAAACCTCGTTTTACCTAATGAAAAATATTATATTAAACTTAAGAATATTAATAAACACCTTAGAATACTAACGTAAATACACTTTATAATTCCTCTCCCTAAACACTCCCCGTTATTTATATTCGCAATGCGGTTTAATACTTTCGCAAAATACCCTTTATTATCTATACCCACTATATAATACCTACGTAATCGAAACCTAAAATTCCTCTCGTAAACTATTCTTTATTATTCGCACTTACTATAACCTATTATAATATTTAAATATAATCCCCCTCCCTATAAATTCCATCCTCGGGACTTTTATTTCCTTCGTCCGCCTCCTATAACTCTATATATTATTTCCTCTATAAACTTCCCTTATTTATATTATTCCTTCTTAATTACCTTTTTATTACCCTTACTTTATTCTTTATATTATTCCTTCCGTTTTAATAATATAATTTTTAACCGTTTCCTCTATTCTCCCTATTATAATTTGAATTATATACTTTCCTATTTTCCGCTTTTTTCTCTTACTTTCTTACAACTACTACTACTACTTACTCGTTCTATCCTTCCCTTTTTAATTATTACCTTTATTTTATCCTTCTATTTACCCCCTCTTATTACTTATATAATTACTTAATATTTTCTTTACCCTACATTATTTTATATTTATTTACTTTAAATTATATTTATTTACTCTAATTTATATTTATATAAAGACCTCCTCCTTTATTTATATAACATCCCTTTTATTTACCTTTTTCGCCTTTCCTTTCTTTTTTTTCCTATTTTTACTTTTATAATTATATCTACTACCCCCTCCCTTAATTCCGTAACCGCCTTACTTACCCCTTTACTTAAATTAGTCCCTACTACGGACGTACGTATTTCTACTATATACTTATATACTAATTCCTATCTTTTTTATAAATCTAATTAATATATTCGCTTTTCCTCCTTATTTTCTTCCTTTTTACTCTATCCTCTCCTTCCTCTTATTTTACGCCCGTAATTAACCTTTAATTAGCTGTTCCTTTCCTATCCTTTAATAATATTCGCCCCCTCGCCTACCTAGGATATAATATCGCTTTAATTTAAATATTCGCTAATACTCCAACCCTAAACTTATATAAAATACTTTATTTAATTAGTATGTATACCTACCAGACTAAAGGTACGCTATTTTCCCTTTATTATCTCCCCTTTTTTTTTTTTTTTTTTTTTTTTTTTTTTTTTTTTTTTTTTGCACTAACGTCTTCTCCTTCCAGAATTCAACGAAAGATCGCAATATTCGCTATCGCTACGCCGCTACATACTCGAAGTCCCCCGCGGTATTTGCAATTTTCGGAACAATATATAAAATATAGTAATTAAAATTATATATTTTACCGATATTAGTAGCCCCCTACCCGCCCCCCTCTTATAACGGTTATATTAATCCGTAGTGGTATTTTAAATTACAATATAAACGCGCTTTATTAATAATAGTCTCCTTATAATATTACTTAGTATATTCCGAATTAGGAATTTTAATTGTAAAGGCTATTTGAAATTTAATTACTATAATATCGGCAATACTAATACTAATATTAATCCAATAGCCCTTATTAGCGGTCCTATTACTAGTAATAATAATTCTCCTATAAATATTTTAATACCGAACTCTCCTACTTATATTACCCCCTCCCCTAATTATAATTAAAATCCTTAGTATTAAATAGTTAATAGAAGGTTAGCGTTTATAAATAGGAAATTAGATAAATTATTAAAGTTTGTAAGGGAAGACTATAAATAAATAATATAAAATAGTATTTATAAATATTATTAATAAATATAATAGTGTACGGGAATATTCCTCCTAAAATCGTAGGTTCTAATCCTATATTAATAATAACGGATATTACTAAAGATTTTTTTATTTAGGGCAATAATAAAAAATATAAATTATATTCTATTTAGCGCTTTATTAATATTCTATATTCAATTAAATTACCTTCCCTTCCTATTTCTCGTCCCTTTTAACGTTTCTACTTTGCATCTCCGCCTTATATTTCTACTTTTATATCCCTACTTTACGCCTTATATTTACATTTTATATTTATATCCTATATTTCTACTTATATTTCTACTTTATAATTTATATTTATATTGTTACAGGCATTACTGCTATGTTCCTGTATATAAATAGAGTATACTATACTACATTAGTACAGTCAGCTATGCAGCTGCCTGAGTACAGTATAGCAGTCACGTGCAGCTATTACGTGCACACATACTATAGACTGTATATTCAGATCTACAACGTACCCTACATAGTTCTCGTATACGCATAGGATTCTCTTCCTATTCCTCGCACAATAATCAAAGTCTTACCTTAGTATTTACTCGCACCCTATAACACTTTATTATACCTTACCTTCGCATTAAAGCACAATAAATGATTTCGGTCGAACTAAGCTTAGTAAAAACCAATATAATAAATTAATTCTCGCGAAATTCACTCTTTAGCGAATCGTACAATCGTTAATAGCGAATTAGAAATTCCAATAATACCGATATCGATTCCGGAGATCGTAGTATTAATATTAGAATAGTAAATAAATATTTAGAATAACGAAGGTATAATTATTATATTGAACGATATAGTACTAGATCTTTTTTCCTATTTTTAACTATTAATAAACTATTAATCCAATCATTTACTTTAATACCCTAATTATTATTTAAATAAAATATTTAATAACCTAAACTATAATAGCAATAGTTAAATTAACCTTACTACAATTTTCCCTTCCTTACTTAAAGGATTCGATATATTATTCGCTATTTACAACAATAACTCTAATATTAGCCTTTAGGTCTCGCTTAATTTCGTAGTATAAGTTAAAAATTACAAAGAAATTATAAAGTTATTATACTATTTTAATAAGAAGATTAAATTATTCAATAAGAATATTACGGCTGAATAAGAAAAGTTTATAAATTATAAATGTAACGCCGAGGCCTACGTTAAAAAGACGAATTAGGAGATAAGCTAAATTACTAACTATATTAATAAATTTAAAAGTATTAAGAAATAGTTCGTAGATTAATTAAAGGTCTTATAGACCTAATACAACTAAATCCTTAAGAATAATATATTCTTAGAATAAAAATTGGCTATAGCCGAGAAGGAGAAGGCAATTTAAGAGATTAGCGTAGTAAAGATTATCGCTAAAAAGGAAATCGATTACTAAAATATCTTTAACTTATTAATTACAATTAATATTATATCTAATAAACTTAAATAAAAATATAGTAATTTACGTATTGTAACTAAAATCGCCCAAGAGGAGTCTATTAAAATATAGGATGATATTAAGACTATCCAAGACGACCTCTACTTAGCCGAAGAAAGTATATTCGTCACTAAAAATAATCTAATAATAGCCTAAAAACAATTTAATATAACTAATCCTAATAGCAGTAAATTCTAAATAACGGCCGAAGAAATCGCGGATAAAAATACTAATAATATAAAATATAATAGCGGCCCTAAAAAATTAGATAAAGGAATTAACTTTAATTCTAGTAATATAGGCGGCGGTTTTAGTAATAGTAGCCCTAAAAGATCGGGTAAAAAAACCGGCTTTAATTCTAATAAAGTAAACAACGGCTTTAGAGGTAGAGGATTCCCCGGCGGTAATTTCCCTAGTAGGGGCTTTTATAATAGAGGTTTCCCCAGAGGTTCTAAAAATCCTAATAGCCCGGGAAATCATTTATCTATAATTAATCCCTAACTTAATTATTATTATAAGGCTCTTTGTAAAAATTCTAAATATTTTAATAGCGAAGAAACGGATATTATTAAACGCTACAATACTTATAGCGCTTAGAATTCGGCTATTTATAACTACTAATTAATAAATAAACACGAATTTCCTAATAAATTATCCAAATTCTTTTATACTATAGCCTATTTAAATAGTAAGGTTAAGGTCAATATTAACGAACATTATTAATTTATTTTTAATAATTTATTTCACTTAATTCATTAAAAATGAAAAATAGGCGAGGAGTTCCTCGTTTACTTAAATAACCATTATAAATAGGGCGACTTTGTAGCTGTAGTAGAGAAGGAATTATTAAACCTTAAATAAGCCGGTAAATACGTTAATTATAAAAACTTCGAAGCTAGATTCGTATTGCTAGCGGACTATTATAATTATAATATAATTATTAAAATCCGCCTCCTATATTAGAAAATATTTAAATCCCTAACTAATTCGGTTTCTTACTATTATATTTAACCGGAACGTAACAATTAGAAGAAATAGTCTATTTTATTCCGTAGTATTACTAAAGTATACGCTAAAATATCGCTCTATAATAATTATATTTAGGTAATTAACTATAGTAATAACGGAGGCGGTAATAGTAGCGGCAATAATAGTAAATAAAAAGACCCTAACTCTATAAATATCGACTATATAAAGTTTATAGAGATTTATAAGGACGTTCTATAGGAATATTATAATAAAGGTAATTATATAAATTATAATAAGGGAAAATATTTAACTAAGGACTATAGAAGTAACACTAATTATAGTAATTAAAGTAAGTAATCCAACTGTTTAGATTTAGGCATTACCACGCACTAGAGGACTAACGCCGGCGTACCAGTTATCAATTACACTATAGTAAATATAACCAACCTAACCCCGGCGGCCCTAGCAGCCCTAGCTGCAGCTCTAGCGGCTATTATAGCTATAATTCTAGCTTAATAGGGAAATAAAAAACCCTAGGGTTAAATCGTACCCCGGGGTACTTAGGAATATAAAAAGGAGGGATAGGGATAAATAAATTTAATATTTATACCCTTAATTATTAGAGGATAAAGCCGTTTAAATTAAATAGTTTAGAATTCTATAAATAGAATATAACCCTCCTTTCTATATATATTTAGTATTTTTAATATAATAGTAAGGTGAATTACGTATTACTAATTAATTTTAAATATTTAGGTAAAGCTTTTATTAACCGTTTATTTGCGGAATAAACTAATTTAGAACTTAAGATATTAGAGAAGTTAAGACTATTGTATTTAATAAAAAATGTATTTAAAGAATGGGTAGATTAATATATTAGAGCTACTATATATATTAATAACTATAAGGAAGTTATTCGCTTCTTTATAACCAACCTAGTAGTAAATTACCCGGTTATTTTAGGATAATTATAATTATAGCTCTATAACTTAAATATTAATTAAGTAATTAATAAAATTATTTAGAATATTAGGTATATAGGCTTATATATTAATTAACCTTTAAAAGTAATAATATTCCTAGAAAATACTTACGAAGTAAAAAAACCCGAAAACAAACCCTACAATTCTAAAAACGAATTTGAAAGGGAATTAGAAGAGGAAGAGGACTTCCCCAATTGGGTAACCAATATTATAAAAGCCCCTATAAGGAACTAAACTATAATAATAGAACCCCCGTCCCTACCGGACTATATAAATAGATTTAAAGAACTTTTTAGACTAGAAGGGAAGTTTATATTACAAAAGATAAAGATGCAAATTAGAATTGTTGGAGGACGGAGAATTTGGACGATACCTTAGCTAAAAAGAATTAGACGTACTATATTTCAACCCTTCGAATTTACAATTTATATAGCGGCGTTAGATCTATTAAACTTTAAAATTATTAATGTAAGGACTTTTATATTAAATATAAAGCTAAGGGGAATTTAAATAAATTCTATTACTTAAATAGAACTCTAGGAAATTTAGAAAGAGAAAAAAGAGCCTATCTTAATACCCACTTTATTAAAAAAAGTTTAGAAAAATATTATATAAAGTAGAGGAGAACTTTATAAATAATATTTTAAAAATAATAAAATATATAATTTTATTAATTTTTATAAGAAGGAAGTATTGGGAGAAAATATAGGTGAATAGTCTCTCTAACCTAGGGAGGAAACTAGGGATTTTATTAACTATATTTATAGAATAGAAATAAAAGAGAAGCCACCTTCCTCTAAAAATAAAGCGTCTATATTATTAATAGAGATAGACAAGATTTGTAGTATTATAGAGGAGGATGTATAAAAGTTTATAGAGAAATCTACTAAACCGAAATATATAGTAGAGTAAATAAAAGCCCAATTCCCCAATAAATATAAAGATTTATTATATATTATAAACCCTATAGATGTAAAAATAATCCCTAAACACCATTTATATAATTATAAAATTAAATTAAAACCGGGGGTAGAATTACTACCCTATTTTAGGGCAAGGCTAATATTACTATAAAAATTAAAGGTTATTAAATAATAGTTGAATAATAATTTGACGAAGGGATTTATCCGACTATTAATATTAGATATCGTATCCCTAATTCTATTAATAAGGAAGCTTAACGGCGGTATAAGAATCTATATAAATTATAAGGGTATTAACGAAATCTCTTTAAAGAATTGTTACTTATTACTACTAATTAAAGAGATATTAAATACTATTTATAAAATAAAATAGTTCACTAAAATAAATATAATTGTAATATTTAACCGACTAAAAATAACCGAAGGCTATAAGTAACTAATAGCGTTTAATATACGATTCAAGCTATACGAATCTTTAATATATCTATTCGGACTCTCTAAGGTAGTAACCTCTTTCTAGAACTTTATTAATAATATATTATATAATATCCTTAACATTTATACAACAGCCTATTTCAATAATATCTTAATTTTCTCTAAAATTTATAAAGATTATATTAAATACGTTAGGGAGGTTCTCTAGTAATTAATTAATATGGGTTTATAAATTAATATTAATAAATACGAATTTTATATTTGAAAGAATTAAGTACCTAGGATTAATCATCACCCCGGGAAGTATTGAGATAGACCTAGAAAAAGTAGCCGCAGTTACTAAATAGGAAGTATTAACGAGTAGGCGCTAATTATAATATTTCCTAAGATTCGCAAACTTCTATAGAAAGTTTATTACCGGTTTCTCTTATATAAGTAAACTATTATACGAATTAATAAAGCGAATAACCAAATAGAAATAGAATAAAAAATATAATAACGCTTTTAAATCCCTCAAAACGGCGTTCATATTTATACCGGTACTAAAAATCTATAATTAGGAGAAGCCTATAATAGTAGAAGTAGACGCCTTAGATTGGTCATTAGGAGGCACCCTTTCCTAAATATACGATAGAAAATTCTATTTAATAGCCTACTTCTTAGTAAAATACTCGGCGGCCGAATATAACTATAATATTTATAATAAAGAATTACTAACGGTTGTTAAAGTATTAGAGGAATAGAA